ACTTGTAATGTCATCAAAATTTTCAGTGTTTTCATTTCCTTCATTCAAATCCTACCGAATAACTTTATATAAGCGGCTTGCTAATAATTCTACGTAAATTTTGGTATAAGGGATATGTGCGATGTGGAAAAAAACATCGATATGGCTCTTAGATAAACAAATAAATAGTGTTTTTATCAGTAATCATCAAAGTAGCAATGCAACAGCAATCGATAGAAAAAAAGGTTAAATGTTAGAATCCCCGCATTTTCCCCACATAGCGTCAATCCCACAAAATCCCAATCGAGTTGAAATTCCCAGCAATTTGGGGAATTCGCCACAAATTGACAACACTATGAGTGTTGCCCATTTATTTTCAGCAATTTATCTATGAAGAATAATATTAACAACAAAAGAGGAAATGTAGTAAAAAAAATTCTATTGTCATATTTTTATTTTCATACTGTTAGAGAAAAAACGTACTCCAGAAAAAAATACGGTTTCTTCTCATGTTTTTTTCATTGTTTTTTTTTTTCATCTCAGAATAAAAACGGTTTTTTAACAACACTAATTCATCACATGGTAACAGATACAGTTTGATACATTAATAAACTAGACCACATTTCAAAAACAGTGTACAAAGCATGATAAAATTAGTTTTACTAATAAGGTGGTGTAAAATTACAATCTCCAAATACTAATTCTGAAAATCTGAAACTCGTAAAAAAAGCAACTAGAAGATCGGTAGGGGTATCGCGTAAGTAACTAATGCGTAATGCATCTTGGATGTATTGCAGAAAACAACGCACCTTCGGTGAAACAGTGCTGCCCTGATTATTGTAAATGCAGCACTTAGAAAATATTGATTCGGAGAAAAACATATTTTTATTTTTCTATTTATATTTAGTAAGTGTTACAATTAGTAGGGCAGAGTGTCATTATCTTACGGTTGTAAAATTTACAGAAAACGAATCAAAAGTTTTGTTTTTACTGCCACTGAGCAACTTTAAAGACCTCACTTCAATAATAATAGCGCACTCTATGGTAATGTCTGTTATTTTCAGATAAATTTGCATTTTTAAAATGGTCTAAAAATTATGAAAATCATAATTTGATTTAAGTCAAGTCTGTGATTCACTGGAGTGTGTAATCCATAACTGACACAGTTGTCCACGTTGTGGATGTATGTATACCGAAGACGATGGCGTTTTTTGTGGTCGAGGAGTATATCAACAACAATAGAGCTCCTTGTGAGAGAGTTCGTCCAGGGAAGTACTGCCACCTTACCTATTTCTGCCGCCAAGCAGTAATGTCAGCATTACTGTGTTCCTGTTTTGAAGGGTAAGATTGCTGGTGAAATTACAGGCACATGGGACTTGTCAACTTATAGGCCCATTTAGATGCAGAGATTTTCTCGTCTCGAAGATACGATTATCGAAAGTATACAAAAACTTTTCTCGTCTAAACATTCACGATTATCATTCGCCCTTCCATGTGAGCGATAATCGCCTCGCCTCGCGAATATTGAACGTCTCCATGTAAACAGAACTTGAAAGCAAAAATCATATGTGCCAGCCAGTCGCTACCATGAGTGCAGTGCGCGAGGGTGTTTTGATTATCACTGCTTTGCTAAGACTAGAATTAATGAAACAAGAGCGAAAAAAAATTTTGGGTTAATAAATGTTATAAAATTTAAAAAAAATTATGATAAATGTATATTTCTATACAGTGCAATGGACTTAATTGCGTGATGACATAATCGTAGACGAGATTTTAGTTCTTACCTGAATGTAAAAATTACGATATGATAATCTTATGGCGATTATTAATCACGTACGATTTTTCGTCACGAAGCGTGCGATAAACTCTCCATCTAAATGGGCCTTATGTCACAGAGTGACCGGCGCAGTGGCAGTGCCCCTCATATTTTTAACTTAAAGCTCTGAATGGCACTGATCATGTTATGGACAGGCGTGTAGTGTACCGTCGCTTGATATTATAAAAAAATGTACAGGAAAGGCGGCGGCAGATCGGCATCTCATGTTCTGGCAGCGCAAGGTGGAGAGTTGTGGATAGGTGCTCTCGGAGGTCGCACTCCTTACGACGATCCCCCGGCACTATCTGAAGGAGCAGGTGGAAGAGTCACTGATTATAGGTAAAATTTCCCTCTAGAACGTTTTTTGTAGGTTTGACCACACCAACACACGCGCCTTTACGATTAAAGTGACTTAATTAAAAAAAACTAACAAAACACACGTAAAACTACTGTAAAAATCATTGTTTATAAGTTAATTTGGAACTGACGCATTAAATCTAAAATGGCACAGACTCACTATATTGTCGCCTTAGAGTGACCTCGTATATGATTTCTATGTAATTTTTCAGGACGAAGATAAAAATGTGATGTAAAATATAGTAAATGCAATAATGTTTGTAGTTACCATATTAATTAGTTAAATTATACCTCTTTCAGATACTATATTACTTCAGTAATATATTTGAGCAAGAAGTTTATAATTATAAACTTTTCTTCAACAAAGATCAGTAAAAACGAACTATGTGAAAACGGGTATGCGAGGTTTTCACTCTAAGGCGACGATGTGGGGTCTCGTTCATGTGTTTGAAATTCTATTCCCGCGTCGGTACGTAAACGACTCATTTAGGCTTGAATGATTATGAAGAATCTGCAAAGACAACCACCATTGGCGAAAACGTGACGGACGTACTTTATTACTTAAGGACTTTATTCTTTTATAATTAAAACTTAATTTTGTTAACGCCATAACATCTTGCTTAGCTGGAGACATTTCTTATTAGCACAAAAGACAACAAAATGTTTCACTAAAAAATAGACCTTTTAGCGACCAGTTTTTTAAATTGTTAAGTATTAAAATAATCAGAAACAATTTTTGATGTTATAAAACTGAATGTATTATCATTATTTTCCAGGACTAACAAGACCATTACATTTCCATTTACCTTTATTATTTCAAGAGTAATAAATTAAATAATGTTAAAAGGTCACAACTTCAAATCTCTACTTTGCGAATTCCCTAAAAGTTGGAATTTTTTGTTGGGTCACTTTCATTCTAATGGTGCGGAACATGCTAGGAATATTGTTGTAAGCGTCTGTCTCTGTGCACCTGTTCCTTATATATTTTTGTTAATAGTAGTTTATCATTCAAAATGAAACAATTTTTTCCGAACTAAATCAGGTAGTTATGTTTTTTTTTATTCTGTTAAACAAACCAACGTTTACAAGACTCTTTACAGGTGCCAAGGTCACAGCTGACAGAGATAGCAGTAGTCAACAAACAGTTATAGCTAATATAAATTCGATCTACCGTATTCTGAACTATAGTTGCAAAAATAGTTCATTTTAACTATCTTATTTTTATAACTATTAATTCAAAGATCGAACACTCAGAAAAATTCCTTCGATCCGGCCGGATTCGAAACGACGTCTTCTAGCATACCGTGGCAGACGCTACACTAACTGAGCCACGAAATGAACCAGCGGACCTCACGAATTTTTCTATGTGCTTGTTGTCGTGTCTTTGTATTTGGTTTTTCAACGACTTTTTAGTCCGTACCTTATATTCAATTAAAAAAAATACGCTATATTACATTGCGATTTTTTTCCGCCCAGAATTAAAGAGTTCGGCGCTCTAATGCAGCAGAATCGACTATACCCTTTGCGCGGCGCGGGCTCAAACGGGCGGGCGCGGGCGCGTTTACAACGGCACACCAATTACTGGCCACTCACTATTTCTTCCACACTCATATTCAACTTGGGATCTGTAAGTTGACCATATTTAAAAAAAAATATTTCACAATTGTATTAAATCGCGTCTATGATCAGACAACACGAATGAAGACTATTGTTATCTTAATTCTAGTTGTAGTATTGTAGGAGTGTCATTTGGAGATCTGGTCAGCGTGCCCGAAATTAAATGTTATGTATTTATAATTATTAATTTTATTGAATATCATGATGTTTTACAACCATGATATTAAATTATTTTTTGTGTAATTACTCCACTAGTTTATTATAATTATTAATACAAAGATCGAACCCAAAGAAAAATTCATTTAACCACCGCTCTATAAACTTAGTTACAGATCGAGTAAGCAGACCATAATTTTTGTATGTGTTTGTTAATAATAATATTATTATTACTAATAATAATAATAATGTGGTATTGGGTGTTCTCGGCTTTTATCACCTGCGAGAGACTTATGAAGGTTCCCACTAATTTAGCATAAAATGGTTTTCTTTAATTTTTAAACTTATTAGTATTAAGTAGTAAAGGAATCTGTAATTGACTAAGTTTGCGAAACAGGCTCGAAATTCAAACCTGTTTGTAAAGGCAGGCTGAAAAGTAGTGGTAAGTGACTCTACCACACAATTTTTTTTAAATATTTATTAATAACAACGTTTATTTTGTTGAATATCATGTTTTACTAGTTTCTTATTATTATTGACATTATCTATCTATCTGTATCTAGATAGATATGTTATATCTATATCACCATATTCGATCATGGCGACCACTTTGACTCCTAGTTGGGTTGGCGCTGATGCACTCGAAGATGACTAGCTAATCATCGCGGCGAACGCCGCCGCCAATGTATTTATAGTTAATATTCCCTTATTTTGTCATGTTTAGCGTCGAGTTCAGCTTTTGAACTTCACAAACTTGCCTTGCTTACGGACTTGCCTCACAATCTCCAATTATTTACTTATAATAGATTAGTATATCTCAGTACGGAGTACTAAAAAAATCGACCTCAAAAGTTCGTTTAATTACATCTATTTGCCAAGTTTTATTGAAATCGGAAAGTGCGCGAATCCGAATTCACGCCCTAGTTTGCCACCCTTAGAGATGGAATATTTTCTTCAAATTTAAATGGGCCCAACACTGAGGTACCCTCTTTCCAACTTCAAAATCTATTCACAAATGCCGAGTTATTGCGTAACATACACAAAAAAATCAGTCGAATTGAGAACCTCCTCCTTTTTTTAGTCTGTTAAAAATTTAACAATCAAAAATATCCTTCGATCTGACTGAACTCGAACCAGCGTCTGCGCAGCCCCCGTTTGGCAAACGGACGCTGGTTAAGAATATGATATAGATAAATTGGTCATATTTAAATTATACCAAATCTAGTTTTACTATAAAATCACAAATTATACGTGTCATTGTTTGTCCGTAAACTTTTTTGCTAAATGTTTAATGTCCGTATTTTAGGTAATGGAGCCTTTAACACGACTGGTGGTTCAAGAGTCGTTGACCGACGACGAAGTCGACGCTTGTCGTGGTGTCTTAATATCATTACTAGGCATGGAGACTCGACACGAATTCCCAGCCTCTCAACTGCCTTCTAATATTCGGTAAGTTTCTAAACTCTTTTCAGGTTTTGTGAACGTTTTCCAATAATGGTGTTATTACAATGTTTTTCCTTACCAATACAAAACAATAATGCAGTATCGCAGAATACTACAATTTTGAACTACAGCGACGAGTAGAGAAAGCGAAACTTTATCGGGAATAAACCATCCATCTTTTTACGTCAGAGGTTATTATCTAAAGACAGCAGAATGGTTTTTTTTTAATGTTTTGCACTGATTTAGTCTTCGGGGATCTTGTATCATTCCTTAAAATTCAATCTGAGAAATTCCTACGTGTTGTTTCGCATATAACGACTTTCTAGCTTTTGCTATTCTTTGCAATACCGTCTCTTTTCGTATTTTATCTAAACAAAGTTTAAGATTTATTGCAGCTTTTTACCATATTTGTATACTACAATTATGTACTCTGGTGTAACCTCGTGATCGTATTTTGGATATGGTCCCGACTACGGTCAACCACTTAATAATATTATAAATAAAATCATGTCTGCCACGCAGAGGTCCCGGATCCGATTCCCGGGCCGGGAGAAATATTTGTATGGCCTACATTTATTTCGCTCGTGATTTTGAGTCATCGAGTATATAACCAGAAATAGAGACGTAATAAGGGCCATATATTCCTGGTAACATATTAGCGATACAGCTCTTATAAATATATAATATAGACAGGCCAACTACTGACCTGTGTGTACGTCTCCGTATATTCCAAAAATATTCTGTATTTATTGTAATAAAGATAATATCTCTAACAATGCCGTGCTGTTCTATTCGGTGGTGTGGGAAAAACAGCAAAACATCTAGTTACAAAACAAACGGAATCACATTTCATCGGTTATTAAACATGTGATTTTGCAATTTTCGTCCATTATAGCAAAGCTCAAGTTAACTGATCGATTTGAAGTGAAACAATTGACGACACCCGTCAATTGTTTCGAACTCGGGCTAGCCAATCGGAGTGCAGTTGTCACAGTAATGATATGGCAGAATAGATTTCAAACAAATTAAATGACATTTCGTCTCTATTTCTGGTTATATACTCGATGTTTTGAATGTAATTTGTGGTGTTCTATGTGTATGTCCATGCGACGTTGAAAAGACCCAAACCGTTGGTTTGTTTGAAAAATCAAATATACGCGATTTGGGTCCGACAAAATAATGTCGTTTTCAATAACTTAATCAGTTTTAAGGCGCTAAGAATTGAGTAACTTAGAATTAAATAGAGATCGATCATGTTGTCTTCTTTCGTAGTACTCTTGACAGAACGGTCGTAATAATCACGGAGTATGTTTATGATTGATGTGACTCACCTCACCACATCTCGCCATATCTGTCTGTTGGTGGACTCCCTGGCGCACTCATACAAAATGGCCCCATTACAGTTGATCGATCCATCGCATGGGTGACCTTCCACGCTATTTAGTGCCGTCTACAAGACGTTCTATGCAGTCAATATTCCGTCTCGAAATGTGATCGAAGATTTCCAGGATGCGAGTTTAAACCAGAACAGATAAACAACATGCTATACGACAATAGCAAAAAAATATATTTTAGTTATGTGAATAAAAATTTTGGTGCCCCGCACAAAAACTTGATTGACCGCGCGCATTTTGCACGGGCAATTTAAATTTAAGAGTTTTGTTAAGGTGAATCACCAGAGAGCAATATGTATTCTAAAGAATATTTGCTATTTCTGCAATGTTTTTCTCTTATTATTATTTTACTTGGATGCGCGCATGCAGGACAGACAAGCACACATTGAAGCGAGCGGTTTGGAGGCGATAAGAAATATATTGATATTTTTTTTTTAATAACATCAAGTGACGGGACGAACAAGTCGGGTGCCTGATGGCAAGCTTATGCCTGTCCATAACAATTGTAGTGCCACTCAGAGCTTTAAACCGCAATGATCTGAGGAGCACTGCCACTGCACCTAACACCCTGAAACATAAGTTGACAAGTCCCATGTGCCTGGACGAACTACTGCTCCTGAACTCTATTGACATTATTATTCAGTCTATTGACATTAGTATAGTCATTACAAGAATTGGAGAGGATGTGAGTTATATTTTTCTATATCTAATGGAGCAAAAAACATTTTTGACGTAACTTCACTTATGCCATTCTTCCATGAGGGGTGCAGTCTCACAGACTGGTGATGATTATGAAACTACAAATAGTCCTAAAAATCTAAAGCCCCTAAAATTCCAATTTGCACTTTTCTATCTAGATTTAGAGGCAAGACTCCAAATTAGCTAGCCGGAACAAATTTTAAATATGCAAAACATATTGTCTACGTCAAAAACAACTCTGTGAATATGTTATTCGACTTGATATCCAATACGGTCATAGTTAAAGCAGTTTAAGGGTCGTATTCCAGACCTCTACTCAATGCTCAAGTCAGGATTTGAGCAGACTTGAGTATGATTTCAAGCACTGGAAATACGACCCTAATGGCAAGGACTTGAGTATGATTTTCAGTGCTTACTGCAATACTCAAGTCCTGACTTGAGTTTTGAGTAGAGTTCTGGAATACGACCCTAAGACTCGCAAGTCGAAATTTACACGTCGTCGGTTTCTTTAATTATATTGTACCATACGTTTGACATCATTACAGGTTGAATAAAAAAGACAAATTAATTTCATGCATTTCGTTGAAATAAATCATCCATCTACCCTGACCTAACTCCTAATATTATTTATTGAATATATTTATTTATACATTTATTATATTTAGTACCATGATGATATTCAATATTTTTTTGTGAAATTACTCCACTAGTTATAATTATTAATACAGAGATCGAACACTAAGAAAAATTCTTTCGATCCGGCTGGATATGATCTGCCTCGATATACTGAAGGCGCTGGATTGTATCCCGCCGGATCGAAGGAATTTTTCTTAGTGTTCGATCTTTGTGTTAATTATTGAATCATTTCTTAGTTTTAAAAGCAGAGAACAGACTCAAAATCTCTAAATGACTGTAAGATTTTTCTAGAAAAATATCACTTTACGGGATTTTTAGCAAATTGAGCATTTTATTCGTAAGCAAGTAGGAAATCACCAAAAAGTCTAAAAAACCGGCAACCTAAGAACAAACGCAAACATTTTTCTATCCGTGCTAGCTGCGTGACCACACTTCCATACCAAATTTCAATCGATTTAATGGAATAGGTTTCAAACTAAAGCGGTTTTAAAGAGTATACAATTTTCAATAAAGTCAACTTCCAAACTATTGATTTTCGCGGAACTATTGTTCATTTTAAATGTGTCATTACGATGTGATCTATCTAAAGAAAATTTTTGTATCACTGCAAATGGACCACTCTGCATAAGTGAATATTTCCACATGTTAAATAAATGTTAGTCAGCACTTAGCTGCGGCTTGTTCCGTATGGGTTCATGGTCACTGAGTCGGGTATCATCTGAGTATAATCTATTAACGCAAGAGAGCTTGAGTCTCAAGATCTGAATACATATTCAGCCGATATGCATTTAACGCCGGATTTGAGAGCTATTTATTAATATATGAGCATTAACGAACTTGGTGTCCGCAGTGGCAAGTCAACAGGGCGACGCGAAGAGCAGTGGCGGCAGGTGTGGAGCGAGCTGGAGGCGCTGGTGCGCGCGCACTCTGCCTCGCCAGCACATCGTGTGCTGCTGCGCACGGTGCTCGAGTGCCGGTCTCACAACCACTCCAGCGATGGTCAGTATCCTTGATTGCTACAACACTTGCAAGGTTCTTACACCACAGTACAGTCGATGCCCTAAAATACCCGATCCTCTAGACTGATCCTCACACTCACATAGCTCAGGAGGAAAGGGTCGGTTAGGAGGTCAGGCATCTTAGGGCGTCGACTGTAGATACTCAAAACAAACATTCAGGGCGCTCCGTCACCGCGAATATGCTCTTGTAATGTAACGTTCAAAAGCGAACATTACACGCGGTGAGGGAGGCGAGCCGAGCATTCGCTGCGCAACACTTGTAACATTCGGTAGCTTTCTCACCGAGAGCATTCGCCTGTAATGTAACAATCCGTTCAGATTGTAAGGACGTAAGGAGTAACAACTCCACCACATAGTGGAAATGTTATCAAGTCTTTACTTAAGTTAGGTGCCCGCGAGTGCCTTTGAGTGCATTTGACTCCAAGGCACTCAAAGACACTCACAGGCACTCGCGGGCATTCCTGACTCTCGCGGGCAGTCCTGGCTCTCAGAGGCACTCCCACGCACGCCTTACTACCTCGCACATCTCTGGTGAAATCGCAGCTTAATCGCATCTTGCATGTTACATTACAGGCGAATGCTTGCCAGTGAAGGAAGTAGTTTGTAATATAATACTCAAAAACGAATGGTCACAGGCGAATGCTCGCCGGTGAGGGAGGTAGTTTGTAATGTAATGCTCGCATACGAATCTTGCGTGTTACATTGCAGGCGAATGTTCTCGGCGAGGAAGCGCCCTAAGACTGCAGTAGGTTATCGGCCAATACTCAAAAAATAAGTATGTTTCTATAATAATGATTTGTATTTTTAAATCGTAAATTAAATCAGGAAATTGATATTTATTTTTGATCGCAAACACCAAACACACCACGTGACGTCATACATCCGCATGTTACCATGTATCTCACGTCAACACACGTTTGCGCGGCGCTTTAATCACTCTAACTAAAACTGTATTGAGCACAGTAGCCAATCAATACGTAAAGTTCTCTAGTTAGTTTATCTACAAATGACGTCACGCAATTTGAGTTGACAACTTAGTACCGTTTGCGCGGTAATTTATTTTTAATTACATTTAAACATACTTTTAGCGTCTTGTAAAGCTTAATTCAAATAAAAAATAATATTTGACTTGACTGTAAAGTACATCCATTTCGGTTACTTTTAAATACTGTCTGAAAGTTGTCTAATTCCCTATTAGACTCGTCGTAACATAGACATTTGTAACACCCAGATATTAAGGCGATTATCACACTGTCCCGCAACACGCAGCGGAGTGCGTGAGGCCACGAAACGAGGAGACTCGTTGTCAGTACGTTGTACAATTGAAAGAAATTTGTCCCTAACTCTTAAAATTAATAGGCTTATCTTATAGGAAATGAAACAATTTTTTCGGATCTAAATCGCGCAAATTTGGTTTTTCAAACAAACCACCGTTTCGACCCCTTTACAAGTCCCATAGTCGCGGGTTAAGATCCTTTACAGGTTCCATGGCCACTCATTTCCTACGTGTAACAATCGCGAAAATAGGTTTGGTTGTCGAACTCGACAGGCTTATCAGAGTGTTGTAACTCTTAGCAGTTAACTATAACATACGTATGATATTCTATAAATATAACACAGTAATAAAAGAGTTATCTGAACGGGTCAGGGAAACCGCAAATCACTCTTCGTTGGTCAAAAAATTTTACGAAACTGCCTGTGTTTATTGTAAAATTTTAGAATCATTTCATGATACAATTTACGGGGTACTGTTAAACCTTTTCGATACCGACGGTTGTAAAAAAATGCAATAAATTTTATCATGTCTGCATGCGTTTTCCATTCAATTTTGCGCACACTGAAACGCCCAAACGGTACTTCTATCTTTCCCCAATTTATTTAGGTTATTTATAGTGAATGAATTGTGTTACAGAATGTAACAAAGAACAATGGCGATCTCCCATATAAATTTTTGTTGCAATATTTTGCATGCGTCTGTTTATGAAAGACATGTGAAAATATAAGAGTTCATCTATTTTCAATCAAATATCTGGTCCGTCCCAAAAGTATCGGACATTTTTCAGGAAAAATACTTTTATTGAACTTATCGGTACCATACATTAGTACTCTTCAAAATAACACCCTTCAGCATCGATGCACTTTTGTAGGCGAGTTTTCCATGCCCGGAAGGCCCCCTGGAAGACGTCAACGGGTAGGTCCTTCAGCGCCCTCGTCGTAGCTTCTTGGATGTCCTTAATTGTGCCCCAATGCTTGCCTTTGAGCTTCGACTTGATGCTGGGAAACAAGAAGAAGTCTGCCGGGGCGACGTCAGGACTGTAGGGGAGGCTGCGGGACCAGCGGGCTTCGTCGGTCACCTCTTCCCTTCCGTCACGGAACATCTTGTGCCACTTCCTGACCGAGGATTCGGACAAGGCTTTGTCCTTGAAGGCCTGTTTAATCATCTCGTTGGTTTCCACAGTATTTTTGCCGAGTAGAACACAAAATTTCACTGCGTACCTCTGTTCTAACGGATCCGTCATCGCGCTACTTTTAAAAACTTCGACGAGGTGTCGTTTAGAGCTCTACGCGAACGCACGTCCTGCCGCTCCAGGTGCTCGGAGCCAACTGGGACCGGTCGCGCTGTATCGGCTAGATCCCCCCACCACTTTCTGTTGCCAAGCGGAGCGCTTCCCGCCGTTCGGCAACACTCCCAAAAAAAATGTTCGATACTTTTGGGACGGACGTATGTGAAAATGTAGAGACATGCAAAAATTCAAACTAAAGGAATGTCTTGTATTCAGACTTCTCAGAACAGTAAACTCAATAACCATATTTTGTTTTTGGGTTTACTATTCTCACATTACTATTCTGAGAAGTCTGGAATTAAAGATATTCCAGTTTGAATTAATGAAGGTTATGTTTTACATATTTGAATAAAATATATTCGGTTTATTATTGTATCAAAATTAACTACAGAAGCCTTAAACAGAGTTCATAGAAGCTGAATGGTCCTGTGAGTTCATGACGTGATGAAAGTTCAGAGGAAATTATTTGATACATATAAAATGGATGGTCACAAGCAAAACAAATCTGAGTTAATACATACTCGTAACTCGGACACTATTTTTTTTTTGTGAAACGTGTTGTCTATCCGTGTTACCGGGAGCTTTTTTGTCAGTTTTGCCACTTTCTCGTGTGGCATGTGTCGAAAAGGAATTATCTACTTTATTTTTGGTAATAAAATAGTTAATCTTTTATTGCAAATCGATCGAATCGATACATTTGATATTACGTGAACTAATGTGGACCTGTCTATAAGTAAGTACTGAAAATCTTTTTAAGGAACGTTAAGAAACTGACAGTTGTCGTCCAGTCGAGTTACATACTAATTAGTAATTTGAGTTTCTTTTAAATATGTTTTTATTTCCAGACTTATGTGAGCCTTTAGTAGGAATAATTTGAAAAACATATTGAACTTATTTTATTCAAACTTGTAATTATGACATTTGAAGACGCTAAATAATTCTTTTAATAATGATTTCGCCACTGTTCTTTATTCGTAAATACACTCGCCTCTAATGCATGCATGCATACATGTCGTAAGAGTCGTTACGTTGCGTTTCATTATTTTGTTAAACTGTTATCTCACTTTTTAACATTACTCATTTTCTTAATACTTTTTTGCAAGAAATAGTTCCAGTATTATTTTCTTATTTCCAAGCTTGGGTGTCAATGTTACTTTAAAGTATTATTTCATATTCCGAGTGTATTAAGCTGAAGTATTATTTAAAGATAATACACGGCAATACATAATAATATAATAAAATTTCCCACCGAAATTAGGCAGAGGCATTAACTTTTTATGTCACTGACTTAAGTTTAAAACAACCGAAGCTGTAATTTAGATCTATTCAAAGCTAGAATGAATAGTTTACCAGACAAACGTTTAATATCATCAAATGAGTTTGTGGCCAAGCGTCTTTTTTTCGTAAATTGTATTTTCTCAAACATGCTCGTAAATGTTTTCATTAGGTACTTTAAAAAAACAACCCACAAAGTTTATCATTTATGGAGCGTGGCACTCTTTATAATAAATATGAAAGTACATTATTGTCCGCTGCTCTAAACTTTTAAATATATGTATAAACAACATACCTTACACGTTCTGTATGGACTTTGTTGTAGTTTGGTGTGTTAGAACTGTATTTTGTTTGCATTGTACTGTTGTCAATTTAACATGTAAATGACTTGCAAATTCTTTTAAGAGAAAAAACGTTCACAGGTTGCGAAATCCGGATTTGTGTCCTTCTCGTGTCTTTGGGGATAACGTTAATAAACGACTGTTTAAAAAGCGAAGTACGACAGGGCTATAACACATAACAGATAAATAGCTTCAATGCTAGTAAAGCTCGTGCAACGTTAGAGGTACATAGCACTGTATTAACATAGTATAAGCATTTTAGTAGCAGTAAAGCTCCTTGTGAAAGCGTTCGTTCAGGGAAGTACTGCCACCTTACCTATTTCTTATTGCCAAGCAGTAATGTGTGCGTTACTAAGTTCCTGTTTTAAAGAGAAGGGTGCTGGTGAAATTACAGGCACTTGAGATTTGCAAACTTACGTCTCAGGGTCAGACGAGCGCAGTGACAGTACCTCTCAGATCTTTGCAATTTAAAATTCCGAGTGGCATTGCAACTGTAAAGAAAACTCCATACCGTAGATCCGCTACATATGCGGTCCGCAGAAAAAGTGGGCTTGCCAATGTTAGTACTTCTAGACTAGTTTACTTTAGTTAAGAGTATTTCCATAGTTCCATGTCCTACGGGATTTTCATGTGGGGTAAAGCGGCTGATATACAAACTATATTTGCGTTGCAAAAACGAACGATTCGTTCTGTGTATCGTTTAGGTTCTTAGAATTCTCTCAGAGAAAAGTTTAAGGAGAGTGTATCATGACTGTGGCATCACAGTATATTTACTCAAACGTTTTATATGCCCGTAAAAATATACATAATTTTAATAAGAAAGAGAGTTTAGAGAATATAAATCTTACAGCCAAGTCTAAACTCATGGGACCACAATTTCGTTTAACTAAGATAAACGTTTCTTTTATGGGGAAACGTTTACGTTTTTACAATAAGAGCGTATATTGAGATTATCATTTCCTAGTTTATATCTTACATCAAAAGTATTTTAAAGAAAAGTCATAAATTGAATACTACATGTTAGATAAAGATCTATGGAAAGACGACAGAGTCAAGATTCCACATAAAATGACTCAGTGTATTCCATAGAATTTAAGTTTATTTGAAAAGAGCAATCCCTAAGAGTTTCTTGCTCGTTTTTCTCAGAGCAGTCAGCTCAGTGTACGAGCAGTAGCTTAAAAAATGGCATTTTCACTTCTCATGCTCTTAAAGTTCGTATTTATGCTGGATGTAGAGTGATCTGAGATCTGAGATCTAGTGCATAAAATAAAAAACCATCACATTAAATATGTCTATTTGTTGTAATTTTAATTAAATAATCGTTTATTTGTAATAGGGGTTAAAGTATGAAATTGCCGATTTGTACTGAAAATCTAAATTGTTTATTTTTTAAATTTTTAACAAATTTATTTAATCAAAATAGTTGCCATTATTATCTATACATTGCTGCCATCTAATGGGAAGGTTATTAATGCCTTTGCGATAGAACTCTGACGATCTAGACTGCACAAACTGTGTGAAAGCATTTTGTACTGCCTCCTGGGAAGAAAACTTCTTGTCACGTAGATAATTGTCCAAATCACGAAAAAAATGGTAGTCCGTTGGAGCAAGGTCTGGTGAATACGGAGGATGACGAATGGTTTCTAACTGCAGTTCCTGAAGGGTCAAAATGGTTTCTCGTGCTGTGTGAGGTCTCGCGTTGTCGTGGAGCAATAATGGTGAAGATCGATTCATGAGTCGGGGCTGTTTTACTGCTAGTTTTGTCAACATGGTTAGGTGTTCGGCACAATAGACATCTGCCGTTCTTGCTTGACCAGATCGGAGAAAACTATAGTGAATAACACCATGCTGAGACCACCAAACAGTTACCATTACCTTTTTATTGGTAAGTTTTGCTTTAGGACACTGTTGTGGCATTTGACCTGGGGTCAGCCATTGCATTTTTCTTTTCCGGTTATCATAAAGAATCCACTTTTCATCACATGTTACAATTCGATCCAATATTCCTTCATTTCTGTACCGGTTCAACAAGGCGACACAAGTTTCAACACGCGTTTCTTTCTGCAGATCAGTCAAATCATGAGGCACCCATTTTTCGTATTTTTTTATTTTATTGATTTGACGCAAGTGAGTCAATATTGTGGGTAAGGTAACGTTAAACCATGCCGCTAATTCCTGGGTAGTTTGACTAGGATCGGCTTCCACTATCTCTCTTAATTCATCGTTATTCACCTGTGTGGGCGGTCTTCCTCGTGGCTCGTTCTATAAGTCGAAATTTCCATCACGAAAGCGTTTAAACCAAAATCGCACGGTGCGTTCATTAGTAGACCCCTCTCCAAACGCAGCATTGATATTGCGGGCTGTTTCTGCCGCGTTAGTTCCGCGTCGGAACTCGTATTCAAAAATCACTCGAATTTTCGCAGTATCCATCTTTCTTGTCTAAATTGAATAACAAAAACAATTGAAAGTCGATATTCAAATGTTTCAAATTTAAAAAAAAAAATCACAGAAACCATTTGAAAAAAGTTTCATTCGAAAACCTCAAACCATGAAGATTCTATGAAAATTCAAAGAACCTATTGCAATAAAACGGCAATTTCATACTTTAACCCCTAATATTATTGCTGTTTAGTTTCCTTGCAATCGAAGTGAAGAGCAGAGTGTATAACTCGTTCATAAAACCCATTATACCCTCCTATAATGTAATCGTATGTTGTACAATCTACTATTTCAAGTGTAAAAATTTTACCTATGGAATAAATTTGACTTTGACTTTGACATACAAACGTAGCAACCCGTACGTGCGCACGCGCACTTACGCGGGTCGCACACGCCTTTCACTATAGAATTGAAGCGTGTTCGCTATAAATTAATATTTTATTATAAATATATTACACTACGATATAATATTATTATAATAAAATATGTTTGTGTAAATTTTATACGTACCGATATCCCATAAACAGGATACTAATCCGCATGCCTGGAATAAAGTTATCAATATGTAAGTACCGTATTTGACAAAGGATATTTCAATATAACACGAGAATACTGTGGCGATATCTAATTTTCTTTTTTCAAATTATGTTTACAACCTGTAGGTACAACTAAAATAATAATGTGACATGGTGACAACCCAAAGCTTTGAACGAACTGTAGGCAGTAGTTCGGCGTCAACCGAAGAGGCGGGAGTTGCACTACTTTTTTATTATTATAGTATCAAATGACTGAACGAACAAGTTGTGTACGTGATGGTAAGCGACACGCCTGTTCATAACAGTTGCAGTGCCACTCAGAGCTTTAAAACGCAAAGATCTGAAGGATACTACCACTGCGCCCGTCACCTTGAGACATAAGTTGACAGCCCCATGCTGCCGTTACTGCTTGGCGGCAGAAATAGGTAAGGTGGCAGTACTTCCCTGGACGAACTCTTTCACAAGGAGCTCTAGTACAAATCTCGTACTGCACATATTCAAAACTGAACTAATTTTTTTGACGAATTGAAAATTTGTTCAAAATTATCGGGATGCCGGTTTCAAAATGTTTTCCACAAAAACGTTGGTGCCTACTTAGAACACTTATTCATAAAAACACAATTGTTATGTATTTGCCACTTGTTAACTAGCGACTTTCACGTCATACATATTTTGCTACTTCTCATTATCAGAGAACGACGTCAAAGATACAGTGACCTATACCAAGCTACATTGTTTTTCTCTCTTGATTCTATATTTAGGAGCAAATAAACCGAGCCAGCGAGATTTACGTTTGACGCTGAATATTTCTTAGTTGACTACGTAACACCATGATTTATTAGCTTCGTAGGTACGTGAAAAACTGGTGGGTCAATTTATTTGCGTAAATTTATGCAATGAATGCGCTGTATTGTGTAGGAGTATAAATAAATCGTGTTGGTTCAAATATATATTACCATTGAATGGTAACGTCTTGCAGTATCTCTTTATCATTTTTTAACTAAATAAGTATTATATTGAGCTGTGATGAAATGCAGACCATGAGATACTCATCAACCGCAGGCTGTGTTGAACACCTTTTACTTTGAACGTTCTTTTATGATACTAGGTGACGGAACGAACAAGTGATGCGCCTGGTGGTAAGCGATACGCCTATCCACAACAGTTGCGGTGCCACTCAGAGCTTTAAATCGCAACGATCTGAGGGGCACTGCCACTGCGCCCGTTACCTTGAGACATAAGTTGACAGTTGACGGTTCGAAACCGGAATGCAGCGGTTTTGACGGGTGTCAGGGATATACAGGGGCTCACATTACGGCTTGACGGCAGAAATAGGTAAGGTGGCAACTTCCCTGGACGAACTTTTTCACAAGGAGCTCTAGCAGTACTACGGATAATAAACATAGAAGTTGAAACATTTAAATTTCTAAATTATCACGTGTATCAACCCGTAAACTGTTTATGATTATTATATATTTTCATTTCTTACCATTGGTAGGTCACTGTTTCTGACAATCTTTTACAGGCGACTCACGCGCGACAGTGATCCGAGCTACAACAGATTCGCCCCTTTCACCCCCTGGTTCCGGAAATGGAGCTTCAAGCAGCAGCAGTGGCGACATCTGGGCTTCCAGGAATGTTCTAGATCAATTACTCGGTGCTCCCAGACCTAAGTCCAGACCGGACTTCGCTGGGCGCTTGGCGGCAGGCAACCGAGTGGCTACATTATACCCGCAGTTAAACCAAGACGTGGAAGCTTAGAATAAAATAGATAGAAGTTGAGGTTGCAGGCCAGATTTTGTAATAGAAAAACTGGTAAATCAAGTAGGTGATATTAATGTAAATGTATCGATAATAATATGGAGTACTTTTTAATTATTTTGTAATTAAAATATTAATAATATTGGATTGTTTTAATCACAGGATGGGTGGGTGTGAGATAGTGTTAATTAAAAATGCGACTTTATAAAATTAATATCTTATATTTGTTCAATAAAAACTACATTGTGGGCCCGTGTGCCCGGCGCCCGGGTAACACGTCCTTTGTATTATCTTGTTGCATATAAAATCTGCGGGCAGACTGTGTCATAAGGCAATGGAGTGAGTGTGAAGGCTGCTTTCGCGGCCTTGTCAAGGCATGGTCCGGACTCGTCCGACCGACTTTACAATTATTGGAATGTCACGCGGGATGCGAACTTCATCAAATCAATACGAACCAAACTAACACTAGGCCCTATCACGAGCCATTCCGAAAATACACTCACATCGAAACATTGTACAATCTCCTACTCTCGAGTGCGCCTGGCATAAGTCCATCGAAACGCATCCAAAATATTTAATTAATTAATTCATTAATACCCTATAAAACTTACAAAATCGACCGGTATTCTTAAACTTAATACTAAGTTAAAATTAAACGGAATTGAAAAATAAATTACCTAGGTACAATATTTTAGTCTAGAGAAAGCTATTTATAGGCGCACGAGGGTAGTTTGGTGGGTGGTGCGCGTGTCAGTGTGTGGCTTCTCGAATCTTCTTTGCGACGGGCGGGGTGGCGTCTGATGGGTCGCCTAGGGAGTTCTCTTCCGCTGAACTCGCTTCCTCTATTTGTCTGTCGCAAACAAAATACAGTTTGAAACATTGTATCGGTATAATGTTAGCTTACCCTTTATGACTCCATAACAATACAATGACTGTGTCGTGAGAAACCTCAAAAGTGCTCGCTCACGCAAAGAACAATGGGCTTCTTAACATTACTGGATGTGTTTTAATTTTCATGAGTATGTGCGAGATTGATAAAAGCAGTTCGTATTTGTGTTTAATTTTTTTTTATTTAGACCGTGGGCTCAATGACTACCTACTTTGCAACAGGTCTGATATACCTACGCATGTGCTGTCCGCGTACTGTCGCACAAGTCTTCCAAAAGGGTAAGCCAGCCTTTTCTAAATACATTCCAAACACACCCCTTTCGCTTCGTCTACTCTCGTCAATCTTTTTATACGTACATCCTCGTTTATTATTGGTATTTTCGGCCTTGTTTTTACGTTACTTTAAATCCTAAATGATAAAGTTAGCCGCCTCCTGATACCTTCAATTCTATTATAATAATACCACAGAAGTAGGCAATCGCAAGCCAACACTGAACTAAGGCTTCTTTTGTTTCATTTGTTCCATGGATTCAAGTCCTCTAGTCACAATATTACAGATAATAAACAAAAAAAAAGTAATAGTATAGTGGCTGAACAAAATTAATTTAATTTGTTCTATAGTATTTACGATGAATTTGAATGCAGTATTGAAATAAAATAGATTCGGTAGTAAATCTTTGACGCGTCTGGGAATAATTATCGATTTTTCTTCCGCGCTACATACGTCCCTGGTCAATCGGTGTGTGTATGCTTTTATACCTAAAACTAGCAATACAAAAATCCACCAAGACTTGTCATCAACTTGTCTTCTTATTAGTACCAATAATACTGTCAATTTAATACCTGTGTTAGTCTTTATTCGCATTAGTTTTAAGTTTGTAATCTCACTTTCCCTGTATATAATCCTTATGCAAATGTTTCACTTATAATAATGCTGTAGGTACAAGTCTTAGATCTACATTCTAGATTAAGTCCTTAAATTGTATCTGAAATATGTTCCACTGAATGTAAACTGTCTTGTACATCCAATAAAATAAAATAAAACTTTGAATGGCAAACGTTTTACACTTGGATATAATGAGGTTGAAGAAAACTTGATATTGTCAATGATCACTATATTTTTTACATTATTTTTACAATATATTTATAATTACTAAGCGAAAAACTCGATCCTGAAAGGGCACCGCCATTAAGTAAAAAGAAGATAATGGGGATTATACATATGTATGTATATGTGTATAATTAGCATCATTGACAATTCTGATCCTGTTGAATAACGATAAATGTAGGCCATACAAATATTTCTCCCGGCCCGGGAATCGAACCAGGGACCTCTGCGTGGCAGTCCGGCATGGTAACCGTTCGGCCACCGGGGCAGTTAAGATTAAGGACGGAGGCAGTTGAGGAAAATTAAGAGGTCAGGGTGGCCTGACATTGCATATTTTTAAAGTTATTGATTTACTTTGGACCATAGTTTTAGCATGTACTTATTATACAGGGTGTAAATTTGAGACGGGGCAGCAAGGCCAGCTACCTTAATCGTTGTAAATGTCAGTAATCAGTTATTCTAGGTAGTTTTAAGGTAACTGACAATAAGGAAACTAACAAATTGGCAACGTATTACGTATTTCAAAATAAAAACAATAACGAAAAGCAAAATAGCACAAAAAGTCTATGATAGTAAGTGCTCGAATTGATTGCCGCCTTGGCGGATGCATCGATTCGCTCTCTTCCGCAAAAAGCAAGTAGCGGCTGAAATTCTACTCAGATAGATTCTATTGAAAATTGCTGCAAGTGCGTCTTTCAATTCTTGAACACTGCTGCATTTTTTTTATAAATTTAATTTTTTCCATTCCATTAACAAAACAAAACTGTTCCAAATTAAAAAAATAGTGATATGATTATAATTTGGTTTTACTTAGGTCTTATTTGTAGAGTAGTAGTAGTAGTAGTGGCCAGTTTCGTTTCTAACAAAAACTTTTCATTTAAAATGTGTGGTAAAAGATTTTTTGCGTTTTCTGCCATTTCGAGTACTCTTACCTCAGTTGGTCCCATAGAGACTATTGATCCTTACCAGAGACCGAATCGAATGGCATAAAAAAAAGTTTTGTAAAAATTGCCTTTTATCTGCCTGACTGTACCATTTTTTCAAAATCTGTGAATGCCAATCAAAATGTCTTCAAAATTCATGGATAGTCTTCTAGAACCGTTTTGCTGTATTACAACGATTAAGGTAGCTGGCCTTGTTGCCCCGTCTCAAATTTACACCCTGTATACTAAATCTATGCTTTGGATATTTGGTACGTACCGTTTCGCACGCGGCGTGCTGACGGCGGAGTCAGAGTTATCGGAGGGAGAGGCGGGCGTGGCTGGTGATGCAGCTTTCGCGTCCATCGAGTCCTCTGTGCAGGAAGTAGTTGTGTCCTCGTTCACTAGTTCCACAGTCAGTTTGCCTGGAACAAAGCAAAGTGTACTTGTAGGTTTTGTCTTTGTAGCTAAGTAAAGTCCTCGACGCGCATTGGGGCCATTAGGGTGGTGTATGGCCTGAGGTAAGAAGCTTTGAAGTAGTTTCTGCCAGCGATTTCATAGAAAGAGTCCAATGGCAGCCTTATATGTAAGTGCGAGCGAGAACAAAAAAAATCCACATAGCCATCTTTGTCTTACACCTTACACCTTTAAATTTGAAAAGCAAATCGTCAAAAAGATTCATAAAAACTTTATACTCTTTACAACGCAAAAAAATTTCCAGTTGTATTTTTTTTTCAATCATATCAAGTGATGGGATGAACAAGTTTATTCATCTTCTTGCAGATTTGTACAACACAGGTAAAAGTTTAAACATCTGATTAGATGGGACTGTGTTTTAGTGGGAAAATAATATGCACAGAAAAGTAAATACAAAAAATGTTGAACTTTACCGTGCCAAGTGTTAGTTAAATTTGTGATAGCTAGCTTTTTTTTTTTAATTCGTTTAGCTTTTACAATTCTTCAATATTTCCAAAAATTGGAATACTGATTAGCAAGCAAGTTAGCCATTTATAAATGCTGTATGGTTTGTATGCCTTTCACAATGTTTATTGTTTTACTTTTAATATTGTTCTTAAAGTATGTTTAAACACAATGTACCTAATTCGTTAAAAGGGTTTTTTCTTAAAAGACGACTTGATCGAACTCCGAGTTTGATTGACGGTAGGATCAATTTCAGAATTGAACTTTTCTAAATTGCTTCTAGTACAGGTGTTTTGGATACTGCCCATAACGAATTCCCTTGCCGCAGTACAGGGAACTGCTTAGGTTTAACCAGGTAATTTGGTGTGATTGTCTGGTACATTACTATTACGAAGTATATGATACTTACCATTCCCATTTGTAGGTGGTTCCAGGTTGCTTTCGTCGCTGGGGAGGGGAGATCCACCATTCGTTGGCGCAGGCTGGGTGGTGTTTGGCTGTTTACCCAGAAGCTCAGGCTGCAATTCCGATATTATGTTGTGTGCCCATATTGCCAGCTCTACCATGTGTGGAGACCATTTTTTGCCACAGCCATTTTGTTCCTAGAAATAAATGAAACCCACAGTTTATATGTCTAATAACCAAATGATGTGTATAAATGCAATCTAAAGTTACAGTTTAGCTGTAACCTTACCTTATTTAACCTATCACAGACGCTCTGTATATGGTTTACAAAATTGAGGTATTCCTTGGCAGTGAAATCACTTCCTTCCATCTCTGGGATTGCTTGCAGACATTCATCAGCCATGAACGGTGCTATGTCTGGACTCGCCGCCGCGAGCAGAGCCGATGCCGTGGCTGTACCAACTCCCTTCAAGTTGCTTAATGCAGTCATCGCAGACTCTATATTGGGCAGTTTCCGGAATGCCTTCTTTGTTTCCTGCATTACTGCTCTTGGTGTGTTTACTTTTATAAGATATGACAATTGTGGATAAAACCTCCCTCTCTGTAGCAAGAACAAAACATTTATTAATCTATTATTAATCTTTTTTTTTTTGAATGGTTGTTTAAGTTAAGCAAAATTTAACATTCGAATTTAATTATGACCCCATTTAATGGCATACATAATTGCAGTACGGCATAAACAAGCGAGTCGTGTGTCCCAATCTATAAGGTATGATTTCATTGAGTGTTATGATACAGAATGTGAGTTTGTGAATGCCTACCGCTTGCTTCCATTTCATGAGTTGCACCAACTCTTCATGTATCATGTGCGCTTCCTTGCCCCTGGACTTAATCTTCTTTGGTAGTTCATTCTGATACCTGGAGAAAATAAAAAATCCTCATTTCAAATAATTAAAAGTATAGAAACGTTCAACATATCTTGGTTGAGACTAAAGTCTAAACACCAGGTAGTTGGATGTTACATGAATGTGATAGTGGCATAAATTTTGACTTTGTACAAATTGTTCTTATCAGCCTTTATAGGAGTCTATATTGTAGTGAGTTATATAATTTTAAGCCAATTGTATGATATTCTTTCACTACAGTTCCATTTAGCAAGATATATAGAGGTTTAAAAACAATACAAACACTGCAAATGATGCAAAGTACCATTTTGAACAAAGAATGTTCATAGTTTGTTTGACTGTAACAAAATAGAACACAGAGAACACCAAAGACAAGATAATGTATATTTTTAATTAATTTGAGGCAATCAATCTTTGAGCCGTAAACAGATCTGTTGCTATAGTTTATTGTGGTTTGGAATTAAGAGCTCTGCATTTTCTTCTTCAGTCATTATTTAGTTGATTGGAGCTGGTGTGATCCAGCATTTTTTACTCTTTCGAGCGGCTCAAGCTACCCCTATTCAGACATTCATTATGTCCTTCATTGAATCTTATGAATAGATTTGCATTTATGGCGGTCACTAGGCTTGTGCCAGTGTGAGTTTTCAAGACAAAAATATTTTTAGTTATGTGACAGGTATTTTTTTTGTTTGTAATACGACGAACAAGTCGTGCGCCTAGTGGTAAGCCACACGCCATCTTCTCTTCAATAGTAGGAACTTCTAGATAGAGGTGTGTTCTTAAACCAAGGAGATTGGAATGTAGACTTTAGTACATCATTCTTTTAACACCATTAACTTCTCTATTCCGCGGCTTCGGTGTAGGCTTTTTTAATCTAGCAGTACCTGCACACATATTTAGACAATACATATATAAACATTTGACATACACCTAATGACAAGATGACATTTAATAAAGACAAATTAATTATTATTTATGGCTGTATAAGACATAGATTTAGTATATAGGTACTAAATCTATGGTATAAGATGACTTGTTCATCCTGTCACTTAATATGATAAAATTAATTTAAGTATAACAAAATTATTATGTATTATAAAGTACTTATATGTTATGTTTTAGATTGGCAATAACGTCAGACTGTGTAAGTAAAGTTGTAACATTATAAAAAAAAACTAGTAAAATTCTTACTGAAGTAGAAGTATGTTACTAACTCACAAATAATTTATTTGAGGTAATACAAGTTGTGCAGAACAGAGACTAAATTAGGCACGCAACACTTTATAACACAAAAGCATTTTATCTATTCACTCACATACAATAAACAATATTAATCAATAACCTAAACCAGGTAGGTTTTGTTAAGAATACTTATTAAAATTGTGTAAACAGTTACATTAAAAAGTAATGTCCATTTTAGTTAATTAAAAAATAAATAACTTTGATTTACAAAACAAAACTTTATGTATTGGTTACAAAAACAATTTCTTAATTGCATGGTTACTTCAAGTAGTGTGCGTGAGTGTGATTGACTAACCTTGAAAAATTTGTATGGAAAAAACAAAGGAAAATTATCATTACACAAACGTGCAGAAGATATGAAAAAGTGCAGAAATGGTTTATTAAATTTTAAAGTAGGAAGAAGTAGCACAGTTTCTCTGCCACACTGTAAAAGTAGGTGCAGGACACGATGACTCACAATGTTTAATTGTTTGAAAATAAATCACAAAAATTGCAGTGCACTACTCTCGAATAATGGCAGACAATGATACACCTATGTATTTAACATTCATCATTATATATATAGTCGTAAATTAAGAAAATAAATACAACAGTAAAACTAAAAGGCAAGTGAAGTCACCATTTTGAACGGATGTGAGCCGTACTCAACAAAGCGTTGTAAAAACGTCTACTAGTAACTACAAATTAAATCTTAAGCGTCCTACGATACCGTGTCTGTTATTAATTCAAAGAATATAAGTAATTAACAATATTGCGTGCATAAACATTATAGCAAATTGCATTAAAACAAGCCATGATACATAGGGACAGCCACCATTTTATAATGCCAGAGCGCGGCGATATTTTCCCTACACTGGCTTCAGGAAAAACGATCGTGTCAAATTGACATCGATCCCACGTGACGTAGTGATTTTAATGAGCCGACCGCGGACTAGAGAGATGCAGTCCGCGAGGGAGGTAGCTATCAAATCAGTTTGCACGGATACACACACAATACAAGTTCATTGACACGCCACGGCCGCATTTTCTCCTTGCAAAGGCGTTCGTACTTACCAATTGTCCAATTTTATGAGCTCCTCTGGTCTCTTTGTTTTCTGCTCAGCTTTTAGTTTAATTGCTTGAGGATATAATTTCAATACACTGTCAAACTGTTTTGCATCTGCCTCCAGAAAGAAAGTAGACGTGTCTTTCGTGGTAGCCATTGTGAACGTTCTAAATGTACAACACTGCGTATTTAGTTAGCTATAGCTCCGAACTCGACGCGGCGGCAGCACCTGGCCAACTGGCCGCCCTCTCCCCACCATCCGCCATCTTGTCGACTGAACCTCGTACTGACGTTCAATAATATTATTTTAAATAACGTATTTATTTATTAATAGCAGCATATATTTGAATTCCTTTATATACAGCAACTTAAAACTAATTGTGCTATTTGTTTCCATACAAATAATAATGAAATATAATACTTCGGCGCAAAATGTTACACAAAAAATGTACTTACTCCACATGACAAGGTTAAAGCGAATGTACTTCAAGTCGTGGCGTCGGACATTTGTCTGGCCTCCATGGGGAATAACAGGATGGGAAAAAATGAACTCCATAATAGCGAAATTCAGAACACTCCACTGATATATCACTAGCACTAATGAAATCTGCACGTAATGAGCACAACGTATAGAAATATGCTAGTCACGTCGACCTCGGTTCACTATCAATTTCCTCAATGTGACGCAACCCACGGCACCGTTCCGCCAAAACGACTTGGTAAACACGCATATTTTCCGTTGCATTGCATTACACACTGAGCTCGGAGTAGTCATGAAGTAGTAACTAGCGGTGTACATAAGGCATTTAGGTAGTAGGACGTACATATCACCGGGGTGGAACGTCACCTCGCCAATCGGCTTTATTGTTTTGATAGATCGCTATGTGCTCTGCTCCCTTTTAAATTTAGGTAGATTATTGGCAATTGTATAGATAGATAGTATTTTCTTTGATAGTATTCATGTTGATGGTTGAATTTATAATGAAATCCTTTTAGAACCTAACTAATAAACCTTGACCTTTGTACTTTTATTTATAGCAATGTGTTACGTGTATGAACTATTTCGTATGTGTATCTACTAAAATATATATCTAGAAAGGTGATTTCAAGAACAAATAATAAGTATAATAGTACTTATAAGATGTAATTTTTTATGTTATTTCTAGAAACATGTCTCCCTATTTATTACTACCTATACAATCAAATATTTTTGACCTAAAGTATCTATATACTTCCATTATCCGGTGTTAACCAAGGTGTCTGCCATTATACGGGTTGACCGTAAACTGACTAAGTAGTATAGACAAATTACATTTTCAAACGATACTTCATCAAACTATATTTCACACATAACTTCCCCGCAATGTAATATATATTTGCCTCATCTGGGAATGGAACGTGTAATACGATACTCGAGCGCAGTAACAGGTTGTAAGTACGTCTACCATATCCGCTAAAGACACTTGGGATCACGGTTTTTTATAGATAGGAAGTGACGCCAGATCACCTCTTCGTAGAATCGCCCACTATATTCTTCTACTGTATGGTACAGGTTGTAAAGTCAGCCTAGTGATTGTACTGGTAATGAAAATTAGCTAAAAAAAAACAATATTTAAAGCCATTTCTTGGTTTTGCACACGCAACATCTGCGCAACTATTCTTAACTGCGAATCAATTTGTTTCCATGCTCTTTTATTTTGTTTGCTATTTTTGTTTTTTATTAAAGTTTTCCAATATGAGTATTAGCGGAATTATTTTTGATGTTTATTGTCACACTCTGTATATTTGAAGTTATTTTTATACCTAGCTCTATGTACTTTCGATATGGCCTATCTTACCAATCATTAAAATGCTAGAGCATACAACGAAAATATTTTTATATTATCTTTTTTTTAAGTTATCTTGTCCTTAATACTTAATAATTGGTCATCGCGATAAAACTTTGGGTACTACCTAACTTCACTCTAATAACTAGTTAGAAGCAATTCAAAATCGCTTGCTAGTTAGTTTCATTTTGGGCATAACACAACTCAACTTTGTCAACAAAACTCTGCCATTACCGACATAATTATCAAAGCAGTACGACTTCCAATTAGACGTCCCTAATTCAGAGGAATTTCGTAGTCTGTGTAGACATTCTCTAGCAATGTAAGCCCTGATTGAACGTAATTCCCGCATAATCACGTTACGTAACACTACCGATTCGAAATAATCATGATTTAAGGAACATTCTATTGTATTATTTGTACGTTTTAAAAAATGATTATGACCTATAAACGTACTCTTACTTATGAGTTACCATTTATTACTGTCAAACGTTTTAACGCATAGAATATTGCTAACGGAAAAAAGTGACTGTAATAAACATTTCAAGTTTAACATTTACGATCATATTCACAATCATCAACAATAAAATACCAAAAACTTTAAGGGTAAATTGTAAGTCAATGGGGTAAAGATAATAATAAATAATAACTAAATTTTAGACAACATCACATACGTTGTTCCGATCCAAAGTAAGTTACTAAAGCACTTGTGTTATGGAAATCGGAAACAACGACGGTACCACAAACACCCAGACCGGAGATATTATAGAAAAGCTTTTCTACATTGACCCGGCCGGGGATCGAATCTGGGACCTCAGAGAAAGCGACACCACGAAACGGTGTGCAAGTCATTCGACCACGAAGGTCGTCAAATAAGTAAGTATATTACTAACCAATTTTGCATTTGACATTCTTCGAAAATGTTTACGTCGTAACTATACAACAACGAGTAGCATAATACAAATGTGAGAAATTCCAAAAGAAACAATGACTTGGTACAACCTACTTTAAAATTTAACAATACTCAAATTCAAAGAGAGCCATTTTGCTAATGTCTGAGCATAAAAGGTGTTATACTGGCCCGGGTAAAGCCCCTTTACAACCGGAAATTTTAAATTCAATAGGGTGGCGGGCACAGTATCGGGGAACGACCGACCGAGTCGGCTACAATACGGGCGGGTTTATAGAAGAATTTTAACTCATAGGGGCTTCACAAAAAGTACGAAGGGACGAACCCAACCGCTGTGATGAGGGTTCGAGATTTTAGTCTTTTTTTATAGTATTAACAGGGTGCATCGTGCAGACGGGCAGTGGGAACGAACGACGGGACGCAAACGTGCGCTATGAAATTAGTATTACATTTTTACTGCTTCCAATATAGCAACGGCAAGCTGAACATTTTGATTTTTAATTTCTATTTGGCGTGCTTGTACGTTTGAAATCCAAACTAATAATATTAGTTTATTTTATTAACGCCTTTATGTTATTATAAAGTAAAGTACCTAACTTTGTCTGTCACGTTTTCACGCCTAAATAACTGAACCAAATTTGATGAATTTTGGTATAGAGAGACCAATACCATGGACCAACCATGGTCCATGCCAATACTAAATCTATGAGAGAGACCTAGGAGAAAGATATAGACTACTTTTTTCACGAAAATAAATCTTAAAGGGGTTGAAATAGAGGATGAAAGTTTGTATGGATGGAGGACCAATCTTTTCTCAAGTAAGTAGTACAGTAGGCTACTCGAAGTACTTCTGCTTCTACAAAGACGGGGTCGCGGGCACTAGCTGTATTAGTAGACAGTATTAATAGGATTCCAGAACTCTACTCGATGCTCAAGTCAGGACTTGAGTATGATTTAAAGCACTAGAAATCATACTCAAGCCCTTGCTATTGGGGTCGTATTTCCAGTACTTGAAATCATACTCAAGTCCTGACTTGAGCATTGATTGAGTAGAGTTCTGGAATACGACCCTAAAACTAATCTTGTTGAGAATAAAGAAAACGTAATTTGTTGGATAGCAGAGTTAACTGTATAATTTGAATACTGATTACGTTACTATCTAGAGTTTGGTTTGAAAAAGTTCGTTGTTTTGTCTAGATTTAATTCTTAACAAATGTCATTGTTATGTCATTTTACCCAGCCTCCGACCTGATATTTTTTTATAATATCATGTGATGGAACGAACTAGTCGTGCGGCTGATAAAGTAGGCTGGTAAGCTACACGCCTGTTCATAACAGTTGCAGTGCCTTTCAGAGCTTTAAATCCCAAATATCTGAGAGGCACTGCTAGGTACTGCACCCGTCACCCAGAGACTTATGTTGACAAGTCCCATGTGCATATAATTTCACCAGCACTCTTACCCTTCAAAACCGGAACATTACTGACATTACCGATTATTGATGATATAATTCCATATGATTGATAAAGTTGTAAAATATCCCTGACGAGTGTAAAGTCCACTACATAAGAATTAAATTGGCGCTTGTGCTATTATTTCAATTAAAAAGGACCAAATATGATGACGCTATAATAAAAAAAATAAAAGAAACTTCGATAACTCGTGGGGAGCTGCGGGATAGATGAGCTCGCAAGTAAAAGGAATGGAAGCCGTGCTACCACCAACCTTTATGTCCGAAACGTCGTAGAGCTCGTCTTCATTCACACACTTCACGTGCGGCTGATCACCAATAACGCCACCATGTAATACATATATTGCGTACGCGGCTCAATGCCGGGCGGAGAAGCGGGATATTTAATTTTATACACAATTTGTATAACTTTATCTCTACGATAGAATGAAATATTTGACGGCGGTAGTTGCAAAACTTTGATTGTTACCTCTCTATCGAGAAGCAGTAGGCGGCATCAACACAAAAAAACACTTAGTAATCTCACTGTAAAGTCCTTAGTTGATTTTTTGAGATCCACATAGCGAAACAGGGTATCCCGTACGATACTAGATTACGGAATAGTGCAGCTACTCCCTAGAGTAAGCAAAACAAACCTCTTGACGCTTGAGAGACAATATCGTATGGCTCTTAAGTCCGCGGGAGGCTTTCCTCGTTCAATCCCCACTGAAATGTTGTGGGATATGCTAGATGAAGATCCATGGCATCTCAGGATACACGATCTGCACCGAGACATGCTAGAAAAACTAAAGGACATGCACATAGTGGGACTGGACACTCCTGGTCCACAATACACTAAATATGGCCAGTACAACCCGATGGTTTACAGTCAACGAATTGGTGAAATAGAGTATGTCACAAAAAAAGATAGGGATAAACGTGTCAGTAGACGGCGTGTACCCCCCAAGGGAACACATTCTGCAATAAAAAGAAAGTTATAAATTTTACGTATGTATAGCACTTTTCTGTGAGCTATAAACTAGCTACACGACATAAAATAAATGTATAGATCTTTAAGACACATTGCATTACGTACACACCCTTTTACGGACAAAAACTGTAACAAAAATGAAAAACAATAAAGAACTTTCTATAAAAATGTGTAGTGAAGTGATATTTTGGCTTAAGACAGTAGGTACCCGAGACACAGGCAATTTAAGTTGTTCCATGTCAAGTATACTTATTTCAAGTTTAAGCTTATAATAAGAAAAATAGGATTTGTGTAACAATGTCAGTCAACAAATTTGTTTGCAATGTCGTAAAAGTATTATTTACACAATATAAATTCAATTTCTAGCTAAAGTCGTTTAGTCCCAACGCTTTCGTTTGTATCCTGAAATAATTAACCTTTTTGTTACACCGAATAAATTTATATTTATATATGAATTATTATCCCCTGACAATAAAACAGGTAGGTACCTATCACGCAAAAGATAAGTTGTAATGTTACATCGGAAACTAGTGAATTTTAATTGACTTTTAATAAAAATAAAATTATATTTTGTGACAGATTCAAACCCCCGACCACTCCACTATTTAATAAACCGAATGTTGCTCTTGCCCTTAGGATAAGGAGCTACTTGAAAAATATAATCAATTCTAGCTAGAACTGTACCTGTAAGTTTATAGCGTAATTGGAGGTTTTTGTCGACATAAATAACTTTCTAATCAAATTTTGAACGGTATCATCATTATTTTATGGGTTTTATATAATTTCGTAAGGAAGGTGCGAGCTAGTGGTAGTAAAATTGAGGCGTCCGCCAACGAGGCTCGTTAGCTCAGCGGTAAGAGCGCCCAGTTGATTCAATAGAGGTGGTCGAGGGTTCAAATCCCTCACGAGCTGCGGTTTTAGATTTTTTATTTTATTGTTTCGTAATTATGTTTTAGCAGCTTTTTTACGTGACCCAGAATGAATAAAAGGAATTATAAATAAAACTAACACAATTACGGGAATACCACATAAAAATTATTCGTAAGCGTTATAATTTCTAAATATATAAAACTGCTGCTGTTTTAACTACAAACACTTATATAATTGATCCTGTGCTAAAATGTTAGCAAATTTTCGGTAGAAATCTCTAAAGAATTTAAAAAAATCAATAGTATAGCAATGATCTGTTGAAACTCAACCTACTGCAGTCAACAGACAGGCTGTTTTAATTTACAAACACGATGATTGATGTTAGTACACAGATAGGTTGATATAGAAGAATGATATCATTTTGCGATTCATTCGCAATCTACTCTAAGCATACCTTATTCATGATGGTTTAATATGATAGCGCTAATTAAAAACAAGCTCCGTGTCATGTTCCGAGCCCGCAGCCAGGAATTCAGGTTAGATTAAAAAAAATATTTGAAAAAATTGAATAGGTACACCTGGAGATTTAAACGATACGAAGACAGGCAATGCAAAGTTGTATACTATTCGGTAATTGAAGTGAACTATGGTTTTTCTGTAATCGAACGCCCTGTGCTTAGCTGAGATGTGAAATACGATGTAGCAGCTTCTGGCCTTCGTTGTGAAATATATAAAAACAAAAACATAAGTCGTCTTTGTTTTTTAAATTTAATGCTTAATTTGTGGTGTTACGTTTCACCAAGAGTTAATCAGCAATTAACATTAAAAACCAAGCACTAATTTGCTCGATTTTGCTCCCAAGAATAATATAACGAAGATCTATTTTTATGTAGACAGAATAGTCTTGTCTACCTGTCTTTCTATACGACTGTTGTTTAACAATCGTGTGTGATACACAGCAGGTTATTTACATGCCAATTTGCAAGAGCATAGAATGAAGCGGGCTATAGTTCGTTTTACACGTCACGTCTCGCACATTTGTTTTTATGTTGTGCTTGTTTCGTTGTGCGGAAAACACATTATTCTTTAGCGTTCATTTAAATTGCTATATTTTACACAATTGCAATGATCTCAGTACTTATATTTAGTTGTCAGTCCTGGGGATATCTTCAACATATTCAGATATTGCTATTACTTGTGTTGTACCTTGTTTACCAAAGTCGATAGACCGTAAACATAATATTATGATTCCTACATGTATGATAATGAAGCAACAGCTGACATTATTTTCATAAATTGCTGTCTTCCAAAATTACAATTCATGTTTTCATATCAGTAGGTATACATCGTAATACCTATGTGGTTTCTGGGTATGGAATTGATAAGAACCGTAGACTTTAGACTACTAATAATAGTGTAGTAGGCTCTGCTCTAAACTACAAAGGCTTTAAAGTGTAATTTTGCACTGTTAAGTATTCCGTGCTATTACTGAAGTAGGTATTTCCCAGCACCACAGCGCTAGCAAATGGAATGAGAAATCTTTTTTGCTTGCAAGGTCAGTGAGTTGACTCGTGGGTTCTGATAATCACAAAACAACATGTACTGTCGGTTGGCTCACCGCAGGCAGCTGCGCCGCTGTGGCATAGCGATACCGAGAACTCGAGATATTTTTAATACTACACAGTTGCGCTTACCGCGCCATCTGTCCATCGCCATGTGTACTTCGTCGATGTCTAGTCCGCTTTTTTGTGTTTGGAGGAACTCGATTAACGCCCCCTGAGAAGCATATCAGTCGAAGGTTGATGGCTTTTATATAGCCAATAATTCCAGTGTTTATAGTTTAGATCTGCAGTTATACCTTTTACAGCTTTATAGCGCTCTTTAATTTTATTAGGCGCTACTGTCAGTTGCTGGTTTCTAAGCCGATATAAGTACCTATTCCATTTGTTTTATCTAAGGATATAATTAGTTACTTAATGCCCAAAACCTTTTTATTACAGTGTCTCACTACGCACGTCATGCACCAGCATTTTACCCGTCTAGTAGTCGTCAGACATATTATATACCAATACTACCTAAACTACCAATGTATCATTAATGCTACCGGTCCCATGGTGAGAAAATGCAGGTCAAAGGAGTAGGTATACATTCATTCTTGAATTATGTATTACAATGGTATGTTATGCCAATTAAAGTACTTATTATATTTAAGGTATATATTTTTAAGTTTATCTAAGCGTTAAGCACATTACAAGTAACAATTAATATACATACATATAATAGTATTTGAGTGAAAAGGATAAATAATTTTAAGAATATACTTATTGAAAATGGAACAATTTTTTTGGATATAAATCGCCAATATTTGTTTTTTCAAAGAACGGTTTGGGTTCTTTACAGTTGCCATAGCCACGAACTTTGAACTTATTATCGAATGTATTAGAATTAATAGAACAACATTTTAAAACAAAGTCTTTGGGCTCCTATTCAGCGGGATGTTTGAAATAAGTCGAGCGAATCGGGACACCTAATTCATTTTTGTAGGTTTTCTTACTGAGGACAATTCTGCCAGTGTCCGGGTTGAAAGATACACACAGGGTATGTTGACCCTTGTGACTCTTGTGAGTCTACATTTTTGTTATGCCAAAACATAACCAAGACACCTTACAATATTTTACTAAACCCGGGTATACTTTGTTACCTAAGTCTACCCCAATGGAACACGATTATTTCCGTTTTAGCAATAAATAATATTATTCCGTATCCTATTCAATGGAAATAAAACTAATTTTTCGATTTAGATCAGAAAAAATAGTTTTATTTCCAATGTGTGACAAGGAATCGCTAAAACATAAGAACTAATCTTATTTCACGTTTCGAATTATTGTAGGGTCACGTTGTTGAAGTCCATTTTAAAATGTTAACTTTATTAATTTTAGTGGTAACATGTGGTACGCTATACGCAAGTTTTTCATTCAAGGTTTGAACGAAACTCCGTTCTTCAATGAAATGACGTCACTATAGTATACAAACGGTTGTGTATTAGGTAGTAGTACAGTTTATATAGATGATTGGGTCTTTCTTTTGGCGTCAGATTGTGCTGGTTGGATAAAATAGTCACAAGTCGGTAGCGATGTGAGTCGGACGCTACACGTCTCTCGGTTTTGGTGCCTTCGCGCTCATTCGCGCCGCGGGCGGAGCGTGCGAATTTGGGCCAAGAACAAATACCTCCGGCCCTCTCATTCTCCCATCAACTTTAATCAATACTCCATCCCTTTCAGCTATTTTCTCTTCTCGACGATTTGATGTAATCAGTTCAATGTTTACATTGTGTATAGTATCAATCAGGTGATGATAGTTTATCGCGTGTTGATAAGAGGTGTTGTAGGTCAACCGCGGTGTTGCTTCGATCTGTACGGTAGGTAGAGCTCTACGTATCTAAGAGCAGGGTCAATAGTTTCTTATTTTATGTTTAGCTCGTAACATAAATGTTTATTATGTAATTTATTGTACATTATTTTCTGTGTGCGTAATGAGGACGTCAAATTTGAGACGGTTATGTAAAATGAGTGTTTATGCCAAACTCGTTTTCGTTACTTACAGTAATTTAAAAAAAATGTATTGTACAAGTTGAAGAAAGACATTGACAACCGTAAGTTAGAATTTTAAAGGTGTCGTTTTTTGTTTCGTGCTTTAGATTAAGCTTGTAATATAATGTATTTTATAATGCATCTTTATTTAGATACGTATATATGTACACTGTGTGCAGTTCTATACGTATTGACCTACTTTTAAGTCATTGAAACTGACCTGTCTCATCCAGTAAGTCTTCAATTTGGTTTTTAATTACAGTACGTAGTAATATGGCAGTAATTAAACTAAAGTCAAATAAAGGAAATCAATGAAATTCGTCCAACCATTTACCGAAACTTTGCCCGGAATTTAACGGAAAAGAAATGTTCAATATTTTCCAGTTTTAAAAAGCATTTGCAATCAATAAAGGGTACACAGTACAATTACAACAGTACGTTGCTATTGAAGTGAACACTTATTTATTTTTTCTATTCATGTGTAAAACAGGAATTAAACGTTTCTAGAATGTTTGACCGAACGTCAATAAGTTTGTAGGGAACTTTTGCTAAATAAGAATCTTTGCACTGTATGTTTTTCCTATGATACTTTTTGTCGTAACCGACATTACGCAAATTTTTTTCAAAGCAAACTATTTTCTTTTACACTTTTTACGTCGTGATCCCTATGGATATGGATGGATGGCGCTACATTATACATGTATTATGGAGAACGATATGAGTACCATAATATGTATTATGTCGATGTAAAAATAACAATCAACATTACAGTGTTATTTAGTTGTTACTTTGAAATAAAAATATTTTTATATTGTGTATTACTCTGCCCTCATTTGTCATAACCAACGCATTTGCATTTCGAGATATTGGTATTTAAAGTTTTTTTAATTTGAAAAATGTCAATTACGCAGATTTTACTTAACAATAGATCTGAAACTAAATTACAAAAAAAAACATAGGGGCTTGTAGATCTCGTTCCGTTTATTCCAGATATACTTTTTAGATATAATCAAATTTCGCTAAAAATGTCGATTACATTAGTTATGATAAGGATTTTAGACATTTATATTATGTTTATGTGCTTATCTGCCGACCGCTAACTAATGCGGCTATATGTGACAAAATCATTTACAAAAAAAACCATAGCCCAGTTTTAGAATATTTAAATTGTTTAACGATATTTTAGCTACGCGTCATTAGGGTAAGTTACGATATGTCGTACATGTTAATTAACTGCTCTTGAATAAATAGACAATTTTTAGCGCTATCTTATGCTCTTTAACACTTTCAGCGCCAAACGATTTTTCTGAAGCAGCAGGCCATGTGGGCGACGCGCAGGACGCGCATTTTTTTTCAAAGCACGCCACGCCTGATCTTTAGTAGGTAACTTTTCTAGCAGGTCATGTGGGCTGCCGGCGGGACACGCGTTTTCTTTCACAGCATGCCACGCCTGATCTCAAGTAAATTTTATAGCAGGCCATGTGGGCTGCCGGCGGGATACCTTCAAGCTTTACCAGCAGGCCGCGCATTACGATGTGATTCCACCATAAAAACAGATGGATGTCACCACTATGGACGAGAACGAAACTTGATTATGATCTGGATCAGTTGTTAACAGAAGCGACAAGCAATTGGCTGTGTTCGCTGAACGCACAGCTTATATTTTTAACCTGCCGATGCCGATGCAACCTCTAACTGATGAGGTCTAGAAAAATCGAAAATAAAATTTTGATTCCTAATCGTGGTACGCCGGCGACCCACATGGCCTGCTAGGTAAAATTCGAAAATACATGGTGGTCTGCTGCACTTAGGTTTGTGTGGGCTGCCGGCGGCCCACATGACTTGCTGGTTAGCATTCGAAGATACGTAGTGGCCGGCTGCAGTCGAATTTATGTGGGCGGGCGGCGGCCAACATGGCGCTCAGAGTGTTAAAAAAGATATTTGACAACTTGTTACATAGCCGCGTTTTAGTTTGTAGACGGGATGTATGTAATTTTTACTCGACAACATACTCATATATGTGAGCTTGCGGCCCTCGAGTATGGGTATGTATGACATTGAAGCTAAAACAAACATCCTAACCGTTGATCCCAGTCAAGGAAAAAATGAACTTACTGAGCTACGTCTAATAAATGAGTGTTATATATGAGTAAACATCGAAAAGATGCAAAAGTTATGAAAACAATAACGCTATCAGTTGTTATTTTGCTTGTTCTATATATATGAGCTGATAAAATGTACAATTGGGATATTTCGGTGACAATATAAATAGATACGGCCTATAAAAAATACCTGATATTGTATCGGTAGTATTCAGCCTTGTAAGTAGGTTGTTACGATTAACCCTTTCATGGTAGGTATTTCAATGGTATTGCACACAAAAATGTCCGTCCTTTCCTTGTCGAAATGCATACGTACATCATATATATATCACGCCTTTTTCCCATCGGGGTAGGCAGAAACAACAGGCTTCCACTTGCTACGATCTTGACACACATTTTTCGCCTTCGCCTTCGCATCAGTGCTTTCATATACGCTCGTGGCTTCTCTTGACCTGGCCCTTCTTTAGGACGGCCTCAATTTGGTCATAGTAAGTTCGCCTTGGTCGGCCATTACCAACATGCCCGCTCACACTCGCCCTATAAATCTGTTTCGTCAATCTTCTTTCATTCATTCTCTTTACACGTCCGAACCATCTAAGCATCCTTTTCACTATCTTTGTCACTACATCTCCATCTACAGTCACTACGTCTCTATCTACATTGTTGATTCAATATAAAATGTTCAATGTATGTAAATAATTGAATTTTTATACGTTTTTTTATGATAGCAAGTGACAGGACGAACAAGTCGTGCGCCTGATGGCAAGCTACACGCCTGTTCATAACAGTTGCAGTGCCACTCAGAGCTTTAAATCGCAAAGATCTGAGGGGCATTGCCACTGCGCCCGTCACGCTGGGACATAAGTTGGCAAGTCCCATGTGCCTGTAATTCACCACCACACTTACCTTTCAAAACCGGAACACGGTAATATTAACATTACTGTTTGGCGTAAAATAAGTAAGGTGGCAGTATTTCCCTGGACGAACTCTTTCACAAGGAGCTCTACTGCTACTAAAATTACAATGTTGTTGATACTTCTGCCAGCAACTACGTAGAAAGCTCTTGGAAATCGCACTCCAGACCCAGTAGTTGTTTTTTTTGAGATCCATATAGCGAAACGTGGTACCCTTTACTATCATATTCTAATGTTTAATTTTACGGTAAACGCTGTTACTGTCAAAGTCAAAGTCAAATAATGTTTATTTTCATGGCTTCATAGGCATTGACTTACAAATAAAATAGGTAAGCAAATTATACTTGAAATTATCGTTAAACTATACTGCTCATTTGTAAGGCAGGTTCCCTTGAGAAGAAAGAGCAAGAAACTCTAGGGGTTGCTACGTATAAATATACATTTGGATACGTTTAATTTAAACATCTTAGATCGAGACTATCTGCAAGAGACAACGATCATGAACGTCAGAATGTCGTATGAAATTACAACAACGTATTCCGTAGTTGAGCAATGGTATGTATGAAGATAGGAGAGGTAGGTAGGTAATATATTCAGTTTTTTTATGATATCAAGTAACAGGACTAACAAATATACATCACGGAGCGTGTGCGATGAAATTGCTTAATTTGATTCCTCCTTCCCCTTTCCATTATCGGGAGACTAGACGTGGGCTGGGATTCCACCTCTATGTTGTGGATATTCCCAGGATTCGCACGAAGCGTTTCGCTTCTTTCGCGGTTAAAGAGTGGAATTCCCTACCTACGAACTTCTTCCCCGAACGCTATAACTTGGACCTTTTCAATGCCAGAGTGAATAGGCATTATTTAGGTGTGCATGCTGCATCAGGTGAGGTGGAGGTCAAATGCGCACTTATTTTTTATAAAAATAAACTTATGGGCTTGGTGGTAAGCGACACGCCTGTCTATAATAGTTGCAGAGTCATTCAGAGCTTTAAAACGCAAAGATCTGAGGGGCATTGCTACTGCGCCAGTCACGCTGAGACATAAGTTGACAAGTCCCATGTGCCTGTAATTTCATCAGCACGCTTCCCCGTCAAAACTGGGACGCAGTAATGCTCACAATACCGTTTGGCGGCAGAGATAGATAAGGTGACAGTACTTGCCTAAACACAATGGGCTCTACTGTTACCAAATCTTAATACATTTTGTGTATGGCTTAAAGACAAAAAATATTACAAAGAGATTTCAAATGTTGACTTAAAATTAGTACTTTATATGTTACGTATAATATGTAATTGTTCGACATTGATTATAAAAATATTGCAATATTTATTTATTTTTCATGCTTTCATGTCACAAAACATATAAATATCATGGTAGTAATACCATGATGTATATATATTTTTTGTGAAAATAAATTCAAAAAAATAACTACAGCAAATTTTTTCGATCTTTGTATCAATAATAACAATAAAAATATTATTTTATTGGTATTAATTGACTAACAGTTAGTGTTATAATTCAGGTAAAATATGTATTCTGTTTGTAAAAAGAAACGCCTAGAACTAGAGAATTGTAAAGGTGTCGTTCATCATGACCAAATCCAAACCACACACATCTTTACAAAGCCATCAAAACCAATAGCAGTTGGGTTGGGCTGTGTTGCTTCATTCACCATATTAGCCTGATACAACCCTTTTAGATTTTCACATGTTTCGGTCTTTACGAAATTCTTTGAATGGACGCGACTTTAATAACGACGTACAGATCATCAAACCACACTTAGTGTTTTATAAGTAAAGACAGGAAA